TGGTTTCATATGTGAATTAGTTGTCAATAAGATGAACATATTTGAACATATTTGAATCTTCACGTCATTATTAGATGAAGATCAATTTGAGATATTGTAGGATTTGTAACTCCCAATTAAAATATTTGGGAGTTACATAAGAATGACTAATGACCTAAATACCCTTATCATTAATATGTAAGTTACATTTTAAYCAAACCYAAAKATGCAACATTATTGGTTGATGTGGGTTAGCAAAGTTTGCACAAAATATTGGGTTAGTATTTGAACCACCCTCTATATGTATATATATGTATATGTATATGTATATATATGTATATGTATATGTATATATATATATATATGTATATATGTGTGTGTATGTGTATATATATGTATATATGTGTGTGAGAGAGAAAAAATTCGGAACAATTTTAATTGGGGGTTGATATCCCCACCCCCTTACATCACTTTTCACCCCCTCCTCCTCACACCAACCCTCACTCTCACCCTCACACCTTTCCCTCACTCTCACCCCCTACACAATCTCACCTCCCTCACATGCACCAATAGGAGGGGGTGGGGTTAGAAAAACCCTTTGAATTATACGAACTATTACATGCTTTATACAGATTAAAAATTATGTCAATCCAGTTGTTTAGAGTAAGGGGTTGTTTGTTTACCTCTTAATGATTCAGATGTTGCCTCTTAATAGTTTCATTAAGAGGCAACATCTGAATCATTAAGAGTTGAATCTTGTTGGGCAAAAAAAAAGTCTGCTTCTTAATGGTTCTAAAACTCTCTGAATGATTTTGTATCCTAAGTCTTCCTTAACCATTAAACGCCCTGATTTCATTGTAAACAATTACCAAACAATTATATTTCATTTTGCACTATATCATAAAAGCCTATTAATCATTCTGACCACTTAGTTGCACCAAACCATTCAGCAACTGCCAAACAACCCCTAATATCTCATAGATTTTAGAGATATTTTTTGTTTTATCATCAGCAAGACAAAGTTTCGCCTCATAAAATTAAAACAAATGTTTCAGTTTTACGATAAAATGTCTAAAGAAATATAATTTCATTTAATTGTTATTTTAAAAAACATACTTTCAAAATACATGTATAAGGGTCTGAAATTTAGAAAAAGATATATTTAAAGGTCTATAGTTTAAAAACGTTTATTTCAGTGTCCATATTTAACATAATTTAAAAAATATATTCTTAAAATAAACATTTTCAAAATAGAGATATTTAAATAAAAATATGTCTTTGTAAACAAGATTTATCTTTATCCACAAATAAATAATTAAATAAACAATTAAATTTCGTTAAAAAAGTAAATAAATAAATAAATGCTAAGAAATTCACATGGATCGCCATATTAAATGGGTAATTAAAAGCCTTAAACACGTGAACAATTTATCCAAAAGAACTTAAACATGTGAGCAATTTTCCCAAAAGAACATGAGCATGTGAATCTCTACACCTTTTTTATTTATTTATCTTAAATAGTTTTATAATAGTAAAATTTAATTAAAAAAATATTTATACTATATCATAAAGCATTTGACAAAAACTTTTAAAAACCATTTTTTATACATTAAGTATTGTTTATTGATGCATATTACTTAAAATTTCAAGATTACAAGTAAATTGTATATATGTATAACTTATTAAAGCTTCATGTTTGAATTCGTGTAACTAACTGCAGATCAACATGATCAAATACTGGATTGGTATTTCATTTTAAATATAAAAAATCTAAAATATATTTAAGATAACTAGAAGGGTATTCGTGCAATACATCGAGAAACATCTTGATTTCAATGTTTTGTTTTATTCTTTTTTTATGTCAACATAATACAGTTTTATGTGGTTTTGAAAAAACGATAATGTTTTTATTTTTGAATAAAATATAAATTTGAAAATATCATAAAATTTTGAAAAAAAATTATATCGATATTAGTATCAAATTAATATTTTTAAAAGTTCTTGTGTTTCGGTGTAATTTCCTTAATTCAAATTTTTTTAATTATAATTTATTTTAGATTTACTAACAAAGATTTTTAATTTAGGTTTAATAATATAATTTTTATATAGATAATAATTAAGTATTATGTTAGGACTCAATGATTATCCTAATTATATTTTAGATTTTTTATATTTAAAATGAGATGTTTATCTAATATTTGATTATGTTTATCTGCAGTAAGTTACATGAATACAAATATGGAGCTTTAATAAGTTGTACTTATACACAATTTACTTGTAATATTAAAATCTTAAGTAATATGTATTAATAAACAGTACTTCGTGCATAAGAAATAGTCTTTAAGAGTTTTTTGTCAAATGTTTTATAATATAGTATAGATAGCTTATATTAATAGAAAATGACATTATTAGATTTAAGTCTAGTTTTTCAATATCGTGTCGTAATATTTTTTATTGAATTGCACGTTATTATTAAATATTATTTGTTTTGAAAACGTATTAAGCTTAAAATAACAACAAATTATAAAATATTTCAAATAGATGGAGTAATTAAAAAGGCTTTTTTATACTACTAGAAGGGTACTCGCACAATGCAGCGAGATATATCTCGATTTTAATGTTTTGTGTTTTTTTGTCTCAGTCGATGTTATAATACGATTTTATATGGTTTTGAGAAAACAATAATGTTTTTTTTTATAAAAGATATAAATATGAAGATATCATAAATAATTGAAAAAAATATTGATATTAGTACTAAACTAACTATTAATTTTTTTTTGCTTAATAATATATATTTTTATAAAGATAATAATTAAATATTTTCAATGATTATTCTAATTATATTTTAAATTTTTTATATTTAAAATGAGATGTTTATCTTCTCGATTATGTTTATCTGCAGTTAGTTACACGAATTCAAAACATAAAGCTTTAATAAGTTGTACTTACGCACAATTTAGTTGTAATCTTGAATTTTAAGTAATATGCATCAATAAACAGTACTTCATGCATAAAAAATAATTTTTAAGAATTTTTGTCAAATGTTTTATAATATAATATAGATATTAATTTGAATTTTAAAACTCTCAATTTTCTCAATAATACAATTATTAAAGCATTTAATAATACTAAAATGGCACTCACGCAATGCAGCGAGATACATCTCGATTTTAATGTTCTATTTTATTCTTTATCTATGTCGATGTTATAATACGATTTTATGTGTTTTTTAGAAAGCAATAATGATTTTATTTTTGAATAAAATATAATTTTGAATATATCATAAAAATTTGAAAAAAAATATATCAATGTTAATATCAAATTAACTGCTTAAAAGTTCTCATTTTTTATGTAATTTCTTTAATTTATTTTTTGTTATAATTTAATTTAAGTTTAATAATGAAATAATTTATTTTTGGTTAATAATTTATTTTTGGTTTATAAAGATAATAATTAAATATTCTGTTAGAATTCAATGACTATCCTGATTATATTTTAATTTTTTTTATATTTAAAATGAAATGTTTATCCTGTATTTGATTATGTTTATCTGCAGTTAGTTATACGAATTCAGATCTGAAGCTTTAATAAGTTGTACTTAGCACAATCTACTTGTAATATTGAGTTTTAAGTATCATGCATTAATAAACAATATTTTATGCATAGAAAATGGTTTTTAAGAGTTTTTGTTAAATACTTTATAATATAGTATAGATTATTATCTTTATAAAAAACAATATCAATTAAACCAAAAATAAATGAATTTATTATTAAATCTAAATTAAATTACAATAAAAAATTGAATTAAAGAAATTACAAAAAAAACTTTTAAATATTTAATTTGATACTAAAATCGATATATATATATATATATTAAATTTATTATACCTTCAAATTTATATTTTATTCCAAAAATAAAAACATTATCGTTTTTCAGTAACACATAAAATTGTACTATAACATTTACGGAGACGGAACAAAACGAAACATTAGAATCGAGATGTATATCGCTGCATTGCGCGAGTACCATTCTAGTATAATTTTAATACAAATACATTTCCGTCTTTTTTATAATCCTTAAATTGCAAGTTCGGGTATTTTTAACATTGACATATTGATTTATTATTTTTTTAAACAAAAATCGAGGCTTAATCCTAACGCTGATGTGTAAGGTGCACGCACAAAATACATGTCTATTTAATTGTGAATCTGAATCTTATTTAAAACACAACTGGCAAAATCTAAATAGATATACATATATAAGTAATTATTATTTATGATATTTTTTAAAATAAAATAAATGTTTATTTAAATTAAAAAAAATCTTTTTTAATATGGTAAAAATCAAACTTATATGGCAAGAATCAACCATATGGTTTATATAAGGGAGCTTGATGAACTTAAATTTCCATAAATAAATGATGTGAAAAATCAAATCTGATTATAAAAAATATTTTCCAAATAAAATATATTACATATTTAATATTTACTCTGTCTCAAAATAAATGTTCTGATGACAATTTTATATAGTTTAAAAACTGTATAAATGTTATGTTTTTTAATCTGTTGAATGTCAACTGTATCTTAATCTTATTATCTGATGAAGCTCTGTTTAACAACTGTGTATTTGATTTTTATATTTTTTAAAAGCTGATATTTATTTTAAAACAAATTAAAATAAAATAAAAATATAAAAATCAGATATATATATCCACGTGTCACAAATCAAAATAGGATTACTCAAAACTAAATGATGATGATTAGTTTGTTGACATGAGAATCATCCGCATGGACGACAAGCTTTTTTTTCTTTCCCCTCCACCCATTAAAAGTGTTAACATGCTAAAATGACTTTATTACCCTTTTGGACAACCATAAGGTGTTGGATTAGTGGGTAATACTCATGTTCTTAACCTAAAAGTATTATTATCTTTAAAATACGAATAATTTTATTTTAGCTTTTATTTCCTCACCAAAATTCGGAAACTGTAAAAAAAAGCTGACATTTGCTAAAAAGTATGACTCAACATAACAGGAACGAAGTTGTTCGTTAATCCATTACAGTTCAATTACAACAAGAAATGACGATCAGTTTGGCTTATATAAACGAAACTTTTTGTATTACTTCAAGTTTTTTGTTAGTGTTTTTCAAACATCGGTGGCCAAATTAACCTCTTAAACAAGGCCGGAAGGGTAAAATTGTCAATTTAAAAGAGGCTAGAGGGGTAATATTGTCATTTTAAAAGAGTTGGGTGTGGACTTAGTAAAAAAGAGGTGTGGGGAAGGCCAAAGATGGTGCCTAAATGAAAGCCCAAAAAGAGAGCGAAAGTATGAGAGTAATGAGTGGTCCGCCTGAAAGCATACAGAAAAGGAAATAAGTGCGTGTAACCTGGTACAAACATTATTATTTACTTGTGGGCCCTCTCACTTTGATTTTATCCCTTTTCAGTCCCTTTATTTCAATCACTCTTACCATCCTCACTCCAACCAATTATCACCTTTCCAACCGAAACATTCAAAATGTTCTACTCTTTTTACTTTTAAAAGATTCTCAAAAAGTTGCCTTTCTAAAAGTTTTATCATTTAAAATTACGTATCTGTCTATCGTAATCATTACAGTAAATCTCCATATATTTTCCTTTTTTCAACGTTTGTTAGAACTTTAACGTAACAACCCAGTTGGCATAAAAATACTGGAGTTCTTAGCAGTTTGAAAACCGATAACGAAAGGGTTAGATTTGTAAAGTAAAATAAAATCATAATTTCGTTTATGACTGTCTAGATCTTCAGGTAATCCAGTAATTACAAATCAGCCGTTCGACATTTTGTGGTGCGACAACTGAGTCCCTATGTAATTCTGTAAAAATTTGAAATTTGAAAATCAAAAATATTATAATTTTCTCTTGAACAATAAATGTTATATACTTAACAATTCATGTGTTTTCAGTACTCATAACATGTGGTTAATTTCTATCAGTGTAAATCATAAACGTTTTTGTTTACATAAGACTCATTTGTACAAAAATGTCTACCAGTTTTATGAAGTGACTGGTGATGATTTACACTATATGAATTGTTACTTGAAGAGTAATATAGACTGCAAAACAGATAGAGTTAACATGAGGGTCTGATTTTTGCATCAAGTATTATTTCAGTGTCATAATTAGTAATATATTAAAAATGTAAGGACCAATTTGGTAGAAGTTGGATAGTTGAAGGTTCGGAAATGCTTGAGCAAGATTCAAATTTGTCCCCCTCCCTTTTCTCTCTCCCTCCATATATGAATACCTCTCCACTCGTGTTCATAGCCTGACAGCATTCTCCTTTTTCTTGCTTTTTCTCCCAATTTTCTCTCGGATTCGAGAGTGAAAACCAAATGTCGATGCAGTACGTTGGAGATTCATATTCAAGCTGAATCATCACGCTGTTTCGCCCCTCAAATCCATCGATTTATGCCCTTATTTTGGTAATTTCTACTCTGTGTATAGCTGTATGTATCCGATTTTTGTTGTTTAAGGATTTCAATGTCATTGATGAAGCTGTTGAATTGTATTGTTTATGCAATATGGAAGTGGAATTGTATGAATAACTGGATGTTGTGATGTACGTCGAGGTTTTCTTTTTGTTCGTTATTGAGTATTGATTTAAGATTGTGGTTACTAATTTGCTCTTTGTTTTAACAGGTGAAGAGATTCTGTCATCAGTCAGGTATGTTGCTGGACGGGACAGATCAAGTGGCTTCGACGGGGGCTGATTTAGGATTGTTAGTTGGAAAGATGAATAATACTTCGCTAGCTACCTCTGAGTACGCTTCCATTGTCAATATGAACCTCTTTGTTGCTCTTCTTTGTGCGTGTATTGTGATTGGCCACCTTTTGGAGGAGAGCCGATGGATGAACGAGTCTATCACTGCCCTTTTCATTGTAAGTGTGTTTATGCTAATGATTAATAGTGAATTAATCCGTTTGTTTTTCTGGAGTTTTAAGGGATTGGAATAATTTCAATCTCACGGGTTATGCTCAAAATTTTTGGCGATCAAGGCAAAAAAGAAATTAAACTTTAATATTTACTATTTCTTGGACGACAATGACAGGGTCTATGCACGGGGGTTGTTATTTTATTAAGTAGCGGAGGGAAAAATTCACACCTGTTTGTCTTTAGTGAAGACCTTTTCTTCATTTATCTTCTTCCACCGATCATCTTCAATGCCGGGTATGTTTCATCCTTTCCAAAATTTACAAATGATTATGATCTGTTTCCTTTTAATGCTCATTCGTAGATTTACCTGAAAATTAGTATCCATTATTCAGTAATTTGGTTGTAATATAAACATAGGAAGAATCTAAGATTGACTTGCTGTTATAGCAAATTTTAACTATCAAACATCTAGATTATGCTTGTTTCCCAAATTATCGGTACCGTTATAAGCTGCATCTAAGATTCCACAGACAAATTATCAGTTGATTTTGAACTTGTTATAAGAAAGTATTGGATCAAGCTTTATAATTTAATGCTCGAGTCAGTTTGGTGTTATTTGGGTCTGTTCTTCCATTGCTATATCTGCTTCAATGTGGAAAAATTAAGTGACAAGCACATGATCACGGAAATCCAATTTAGGAAGTATCCTCTCTTTTTTCATGTCTACACCTATGAAACCTGACGTGGTTTATCAAATTTAATTTGGATATGATAGTAAAGCTTGTTTGGCTGCTTCACACTTAACACTTATTAGTTAAGCTTATACAAGCTGATTAAATTCTTTGGCTCCTCACAGTACTTGGGATTCATCAGAATCTGACAGGGTTATGCAATACTTTGACTCGTTGATAGTTTATTGGCATATATTTAGCCCACAGCTGGTACCATGGAGACAAAGAAAGTCCAAGTAGCATGATTTTTAGCAACACAAGATAGATTTTCAGACTGGTTTATACATTTGGTTGTAAGTATGAATATGCCATGTTGTTCAGGTATTAAGGTTGCTTGAGGAGGACTCAATTCATGTTGAACGATCCTTGATCACAGTCACAATCAACAAACCTTTTTATCTCTTCGTACATTATCATGAGGAATTGCGATTTGATCAGACAACATCTTAATTGCTATCATATAGTTTTTTTTTATTAATTATATTAGGTTTGACGTTGTGCTTTAATCTGGTTGCTTGGTGTCCGATGTCAACTCGTGATTCAAAGAAGCCAAACCATAAAAAATGAGACTTTAACTTTTAGGTGGTTGATGTCACCATGATTCTCTTGTTTGAGACACATGCACATGTTCAACAAACCTTAACTTAAGTGCCAGATATCTTTGAAGTATCCCTTTAATCAAAGATGATTCATTAAAAAATTATTATCATTGTATGCTTGTACTTCCGATCAGATTGTTCATAAATTTCTGTTTGCACCCGTGTATTTGTACTATATATACATGTGCATACATATATTACATGCAACAATGAGATGCCTGATCGAACTATGCCTTGTATCAACCATAGGTGTTGCTCATTTGATGGTTTTATCATTTACTTAATTCAGAATTTTCAAAGTGTCACCTGCCATTCTAGTATACGTATATCTATGTGCAAGGATCCAAAACTGCTTGGACTGACTCATTCTTATTGCTGCTGCTGTTATTAAATGCTAATTTTCGTAGTTATTACCTTAAGCTCTTTCTATTTTTTTTGCAAAACAAAATCAACAGGTTCCAGGTAAAGAAGAAACAATTTTTTCGCAATTTCATGACCATAGTGCTATTTGGTGCTGTTGGTACTGCAATATCATTCACCATCATATCATATGGTATACACTCAACCTCTTCACTTAAATGCATCTTTGTTTCATTTTTTTGGTCATAATAAGTTTATGTAGGCTCGTAGAATTGTCAAGTTTGGATGAAATTTTGCATTTGTCAATTGTTATATGTTCCATCATGCCAAACTTGTTTAGACATGTACAGGAAGATGTCGTGTGCAAGGCTGCACTCTTGCAAATCCTCTTTCTATCATCTTGTCATAAACAAGGTGTTTTGCTCAAAAAATAAATTCAATCTTTCTCTGATACACATTAAAAGTAACATAATCGAATAGTAGTTGAATTCCGAAAATGTTCTTTTTCTAAATTAGGTGGATATATAAATTCTAATCTTGGAATGAATTTAAAATGTTCGTATTACTAAAGAACAAAACCTGCTACGAAACATGTGAGGTGTATTTATTTCATAAGCTTTATAAAAGAGGGAATAATGATTCTGAATTCAAACATCCCAAAATGAAGTCTGTTGCACTCACTATGGGATGGAGTAACAAAAGCAGGAATCCATCTTATCCAGATCTTGATTTAATTATGCTTGTGAGAATAATTTTCTTCATTGTTTCTCATCTTTGAGGATGCTGCATGGTTTGCCAATCTGAACAAGGTTGTCTAACTTTTTTACAGGGGCTATAAACATTTTCAAAAGAATGAATGTTGGTTCTCTCGAACTAGGAGATTTTCTTGGTATCACTTGCTCCTCACTTCCCTACCAATCAAGTCTTTTCTTTGTCACTTTTTGCGAATGTTCATTTGTTTGTTAATCTTTCCAACTTTTTTTTCTTCCAGCAATAGGAGCAATCTTTTCCGCAACAGATTCTGTTTGCACTTTGCAGGTAAAGGGAACATCAATACATCATTTAGCTTTGGTATAATCAGAACTGGAACCTCTTTGTGAGCTAATATGTCTCATCTGACAATGCAGGTGCTCAATCAGGATGAGACCCCTTTATTGTATAGTTTGGTGTTTGGGGAAGGCGTTGTTAATGATGCTACATCAGTCGTGATTTTCAATGCAGTCCAAAACTTTGATCTAACACGGATCACAACAAGTGATGCATTTCACTTAATTGGAAACTTCTTCTATTTATTTATCACAAGCACAGTCCTAGGAGCTGGTGTGAGTCTCTCTCTCACTCTTGACATTTGGTGGCCTGTCGATATTCTTACATATTTCCATGCTAAGCGAGTATGAAATGCTATCTCGTAAGATACGATCATGTGATGTTTTACCTCTACTCCTGCAGGCTGGGTTACTAAGTGCGTATGTTATAAAAAAGCTGTACTTTGGAAGGTATACAGATTATGTTTTAATTTCTTCCATAACTTGATATTGATAACTTGTAGATAAGATTGAATGCTGAATTTGAATATATTTAACGACATAGATTATCATTTGCCATATACACAAGGATATGGTGCAGTAGCTGGTTAATCGATTTTTTCCTAGGAAAGAATATATCGAGCATGGAGAAAGGGACGTAAAAAGTTGATGATAACATGGTGATCACGTTGTAATTTCATTTTTTCCTTAATCTCTCCTCTTTTCTTAATAATTTTTCTCCTTACAACACTCTCGCTTCTTTCACACCATTCGCCTACAGAAACACAATGTTTCTCTCTACAAGAAAAAATCACTTCTCTCTCTTAGATTAAGGAAAGAACTCCCTACACTCTTGCTCTATTATTGTGTTGGTCCAGTAATATTTTCCTTTTCCTTGCACATACTATTGCGCTTTGATGTAGCGCGTCTGGTGTATTATTATTATCTATCTTCTGGAGAGAGAGTGATAAAGGAATAAGATAAATAATAAGAAAGCATAGACTCTAGCGTAACTTCCTTTCACGTCCCTGTTGCCATGGCTCCATGCTGTGTAGCATTACTCTTTTACTCATGATATATGTGTGTGTATATGTGTATGTATGTATGTATAGATATGTGTGTATGTATGTAAAATTACCCTTTTACCCATTAGGCTTGCTGCATGTTTAATGTGAACTCCACTTTTCTTCTTGTGAACTGACTATGCTAAGTGTAACGGTTTAGTGAGCGACAAAAAAACTGATATTTTATTTGAAGAATGCTCATACCCTTTTTGGCCTGCTGAATTTTAGGCATTCAACAGATCGAGAAGTGGCTATTATGATTCTCATGGCTTACCTTTCATATATGTTAGCTGAAGTAAGTTTGTCTTTTCTGTTTACTTGCAAAAGCCATATTGTTTTCCTCTAAATTATAGGTAAGAAGCTCTGCATTGTTAATAACCCTCAACTTGTGTTGCAGTTATTCTATTTGAGTGGCATTCTGACAGTGTTCTTCTGTGGAATTGTGATGTCCCATTACACCTGGCATAATGTCACAGAGAAATCAAGAGTCACCACCAAGTATGTCTTAATCCCCTGATGCTCTATCTCTTTTAAGCCCATGTTGCAGAACTTGATAATCTTTTATCTGCGTCTCTACTCCCTCTAATTTTCAGGCATGCCTTTGCAACATTATCATTTATTTCGGAGTTGTTTATCTTTCTTTATGTTGGTATGGATGCTTTGGATATTGAAAAATGGAGCTTTGTACAAGACAGGTATTGTTTTGATAACAAATGACAGTTTCATCTACATATTATGAGTTCTCTTAACAGCCATCGTCACTGTTCTTTTGGTCTATCAGCCCCGGAAAATCAATTGGAGTGAGCTCCATCTTATTGGGGTTGGTTTTGGTTGGAAGAGGATGCTTCGTCTTCCCGTTATCCTTTTTATCCAACTTGACAAAGAAGAATCCAAATGAGAAGATCACTTTTAGACAGCAAGTATGATCTTGCCACACTTGTTCCTTATTTTTTTCCATTTATCTGCCGTATGAAATTGAGTCCTATATTGATGAGACTTGGACCATTTCTCCTCTATATATGTTGGAACCTCCCTTCTCTCTTCAAATACTCTTTTGGAGAGTGATATGGGGACTCGACACTCCGGGGAAATTTGTACCCATCTAGCCCCCTCACCTGTCTAACCCCTTGGGGTTCCACGTATTCTCATAGAAATAAATCTACAATTTCTTACTGTAACTTTTATATTTAAGGTTTTGATTTGGTGGGCTGGTCTTATGAGAGGTGCTGTTTCCATGGCCCTTGCCTATAACCAGGTCAGTGATTTCGTGTTGTCTATTACGTAGATATAGCCTTCCTCATGTTCTAACAAATTCTTTCTCAATGCCTTCAAACTGATTCCTGCTTGATGGTTTTGCATCTAATCGCACATAAACAAGTTGAACTTTAATATAATGTGGTTTTATACTTGCTAACAAGTTATTTGGTTCATGGTGCAGTTCACAAGGTTAGGTCACACGCAACTGCGTGGGAACGCGATCATGATAACAAGTACCATCACTGTTGTCCTCTTCAGTACAGTTGTAAGTATTCTTACGCTTTGGCCGACTATCAAATATTTTGGTTTTCTTCTACTCTTTGATCGTGCATATTGGTGCAGAACTGTAGAATCAATGGCCTTCTATGATTAGATTTTGTCCCTAATTAACATTCCTGCTTGCTTTAATGGTACTTTTAGAAATCGCATGTTAAGATACACGATAAAGCTTTTGTGATCCCAGGGATGCTAATTTAAAAAATCACTCAGTAATTGGAGATGAGTGTAATATCGGGCTTTTAAACTCGTAACCATTTCCCCTTTGTGTACTTTAGGGTCAATATCCTCAAATTTGAACCTCGAGATTTATTCCCATTGAAAAAGAAGTCTCATAATGTCAAAATGCTTCATGTTTTTTTGATTTTTTTAGGTATTTGGATTGATAACAAAGCCTCTAGTGAGACTGTTGTTGCCTCCATCGAAAGGCATGAGCCGAATGGCATCCTCAGAGCCAACGAGTCCCAAATCATACGTGGTACCTCTTCTAGGAAACGAGCGTGATCCAGAAGCGGAACCAGGCCAAGAGAGACCAGTGCTCTATCCATCGAGCCTACGGGTGCTGCTTGCAACACCTTCTCACACAGTCCACTACTATTGGAGAAAGTTCGATAACGCATTCATGCGTCCCGTGTTCGGGGGTCGTGGGTTCGTCCCGTATATTCCGGGAACACCCACAGAGCAAAGTGTTCACAATTTGATCCCTGAAGAAGGGAACTAAAAAAGGGCATATATTTTTGCATGATTAATACATGACCATGGTGCTGATATTCATTAATGTTTCATAGGCAGGAAAGGAGGCATGCAGATAGCAAAGTGAGTGTTGATTTTGATTGATTCAGTTTTGGTTGATGTAAATTAGCTGTTCAAAAAACTCCATATGTTGTTTGTTTCTTCAATATATATTATATGTAGCAAACTTGAGCCCTTCATTTTGTATATTTGATTACATGTTTACATGTACCTATGATAAATTACAATTATCTGTCTCTTATTGAGTAAGAGATGTATATCCAGTTGGAGATGTTTATTGTTCACCAAGCCCCTCCTCTTAGGCTGTGTTTGGTACATAAGACATGATGGGACAAAACTCATTGTCCTACATTTGGCGTAACATGGGATAAGGACAAAAAAGAATCTTTTTTGTTCCACCAAAATAGATAGAACAAGTTGGGACAAGGATGAGATGTCAACTGAAATATTACTAATATACCCTCATTTGATCTTCAAGACTTAAACGGTAATTATGAGCCTTAACTGGTTAAGAGTCTGTTTCAAACCGTCTCTATGGCCATCGGATTTTGAAGTATAGCCCAACCCAATGATTACTGTCTCAAAATGTTTAAACAACTCAACTCAATTATTGCGGTTTTAAGAAATCTTAAGACATTTTAAAAGTAGAGTGAATTACTTTTTTTGTTCTTGTGGTTTGTTAAAAATTGACATTTTTGTTCCTATGGTTTAAAAATTACGGTTTTCATTCTTATGGTTTGTAATTTATTGTTATTTTTGTCCTTATGATTTACAATGTATTTCTAGTTCAGTCCTTGTGTTCTTTACTCTTTTGGCCCCTTATACTTTAAGATAGGAAGTAGCCCAAAGACGAAAATAACAATAAATTATAAATCATAGGGACGAAGATTGCAATTTCTAAACCTTAAGGACGAAAATCAAATTTATTAACAAACTACAGGAACACAAATTGTAATTTACTCTTAAAAGTATAATCCAACCTAAATCAAACCATGCGTGGGTTGAATTGGTCATGTTGGAAATAAACTCAAACCGTAATTCAAGATAATTGACAAATCCTTGAATCATGTTAAAACAAACTAAAATTTATAAGTAAAGAAATAAGAAATCCATTAAGATTGGATTGGCTTACAGTATGGAGTTGGGTTGTCGAGGTTAAAAGGCCTAAATGATGAAGACATCTTGGAGATAGTCGGTTTATTCAAGTTGTGTCGGTTTTCTTTAAGCCTAACCAGGGGCAGACCCGTGTTAAAAGCACTGGTCGAAGGCCCTGGTAAATATGGTGTGGAAAATGAAAAAAAAAACCGAGGGGGCGTTTGGTTAAGGTAGGAGAATGAAAACGAGAAAGAAAATTAAACGATAAGGAATGAAAATGAGAATAAATTTTCACTCCCCCAATTTAACGTGGAATGAAAATATGGATCTCCGTTAAAATGGACCCATTATATCATATAAAATCAAACAAATATTTATTTATTTATTATTATTTAATACCTCTAATCAAACATTACTCAGTGCCCCCATCTCCGTAACCCCTTGCCCCCGTTGGCCACCATAACTTGCCCAAGATCCCCTCTTTAATTTGTTATTTGATCTCTCAAACTTGTATTACTAGTCTATTATTATTTGTTTTTTTTATAATTATTAATAATTAGTTATTTATTTATTTTTAATTGTTATTCTTTCTTTTGTGTAATAGTTATCGTCAAAGTTTGTTAATTTTAAAAGAATAAATTGCATGAAAAAATAACGTATTCTAATTTGATTCCTATTTTGGGTAACGTACTTTCAGAACTTCCATTTTAGTACCTAAGATGTAAAGTTTTAAACATTTAAGTATCCAGCTGAAGCATTAACCGGTTACCATTCTGATGTGGCAAGTTATATGGTATCCGGTTAATACTTCAACAAATAATCTGATGAGCTATGATCCATGATAAGAATCCCCAAAGACAAATTTTATTGTAAAAAGTAACTTCCTACTCTTTAATAATGACTTTATACTTTCTATTACTCCATGTGATCCCATGTAACGTCACATTTTCATATTATTTCGTCTTAAAATAAGTGTCAATTTTCAAAAATCAATAAATATTTTTCGAGTATAGTCTCAATTTAATGAAATGGAGAAATTCTTTACCCTTTTTACCATCAAGGGTAAAATTGTAATTCAATTAAACAAAGCGTAATAATTACACATTTCTAAATAAAGTGTAATAATTGGGGCAGAAAATGATTTCCATGTTTTTGGAAGATGTTTGAAAATAAGAAAGAGATATTTACATAATCTATTTTATTAAATAGAAAATCAAAAAATATTTTTTTATAAAAATAATATCTTTAATTTTAACAGATTTTTTATTTTAAAGATTCTAACATTAATTATTATTAAAATAATCTATAAATTAATTATCTCAATATCCTTTTACACTTCTGGAGTTTGGGAAGGAAAAAAAAGATTTTTTTTATTTGTATTTTTAAATGTGAAGAATAGGAAAGAAAAATAAATAAATTTCCGTGTTTTTTAGGGAGATAGAAAGAAAAGGAAAGATGTCATTTTTATAAATTAGAAGGGTACTCGTGCAATATAGAAAGATAAATACGATTTTTAATGTGTAGCTTTTATGCTTTGTCTCTATCGATATAATACGATTTTATGTGGTTTTGAGAAAGCGATAATGTTTTTATTTTTGAATGAAATATAAATTTGAAGATAACATAAAAATTTGAAAAAAATAAATCGATATTTGTATCAAATTAACTATTTAATAGTTCTAGTTTTTTTCTATTTAACTTCTTTAATTCAATTTTTTATTATATATTAATTTAGATTTAATAACAAAGTAATTTATTTTTGGTTTTATAATATAATCTATACTATATTATAAAACATTTGACAAAAACTCTTAAAAATAATTGTTTATGCATGAAATACTATATATTGATTCATATTAATTAAAATTCAGATTACAAGTAAATTATGCACAAGTACAACTTATTAAAGCTTTATGTTTGAATTCGTGTAACTAACTGCAGATAAACATAATCAAATATAGGATAAACATCTCATTTTAAAATATAAAAAATTTAAAATATAATTAGGATTATGCATAAAAAATGGTTTTTAAGAGTTTTTGTCAAATACTTTATAATATAGTATAGATATAGATTATGTGTTTTTAAGAAAGCAATAATGATTTTATTTTTGAATAAAATATAAATTTGAAGATATAATAAAATT